TCGAAGCCTCGAACAAGTAAAGCACCAAAGTATATGTATACAATACCCAAAGTGAGAGAACTGAATCATCCGCTTTTGCTTGATCCATATGTAGTGATCCCCTCCACCTACCACCTCCTCCCATAAACATCATGCTCCTTCCTCGGCCTCCTCACCCCGTGCTTCCCACCAACAAACTCGCCCACATCCCTCGCCACATTCATCCCATCATTCCCCTCCAGCCCATCCACCCCCAAGCTCGCCCGAGCATCATGCTTGAACAGATCCAAAATCTCCTGCAAGCCCAGTTTCAGCTGGTTCTTCCCCTTCTTCCTCATCCCACCCTCAATCGTCGCCTCCGCCAGCATCCTCTTCTTGTTCTGCAGCTCCAGTATCCTAGCCTCGACTGTATCCTGAACAGTAAGTTTATACACAATCACGTCCACCGTCTGCGTCAGTCTGTGGACCCGATCGATAGCCTGCTCCTCCACAAACGGGTTCCAGAACGGCTCAACAATGATGACGCGGGTGGCGGCCGTCAAATTGAGACCGAGGGAGCCGCACTTGAGAGAGCAGAGCAGGATGCGGGTGTGAGGGTCGGTGCGGAGGGCCTTGAGGGCAGCTTCGCGAGCGTCGTTGGGCATCTTGCCGTCGTAGCGGACGGCTTTCATGCCTGGCTGAGAGCGCAAAAACGGCTCGATGAGGTCGAGCATGGAGGTGAACTGCGAAAAGACAATGAACTTGTGCTCGTGGGCTTCCTTGCGCAGGATGGAGAGCAGTTCCCGAATCTTGGCGGATTGAGTAATGCCTCCGGAACTTTTGGCCGACTTGGATTTCTTCTTCCGCTCTGGTTCTTGTTGGCCAGGACGGCGGGATCGTCTTTGGATGGGAAGGTCATCGTCTGAGTCGTCGTCCGGGTCCGAAGAGATCAACTCAGAAGCGGAGATCTCTTCCTCGTCTTCGCCAGAACCTTCGGTATCCTGGGATGCGACTTGTGACTGCGATACCCTAGACACCGACACGAACGATTCATCCTCTTCCGAGCCGGAATCAGACTCTGACCTGGATCCGTGGACGTCAGCCTGAGAGTCATCCTTGACAATGAAGCTGTCGAGCTGGCTCTCGTCATCGTCATCTTCTTCAGACGAGTGCTCAGAGTCCTCGGAAGCGATATCGTCGCCACCGCCCTCGGCATCCTCATCCTCTGAACCCCCGCACTTCCCAAGTCTCAAAGCACCCTGTTGATCCTCACCCACCAACCAGCTCCCCTCCTCTTCCTCGTCGCTGTCCTCAACAATCCTCCTCGCTTTTGATCTCTTCTTGCTCGCCGCCACCTTCTCGATCTTGATCTCCTCCTTCACCACACTGACCCTCCTCCCATCCGTCTTCTTTTTCTTCTTGCTCGGACTCTCACTGATAACCTTTTGCATACTATCAATGCAATCCGAGCACTTCACCTGCCCGCTCCCCATCTCCTTCTTGCTCAACTCACTCAGACACATCTCGCACTTCCTCGTCCGAATCCCCATCCACATCTCGCACTTCCTCGTCCGAATCCCCATCCCCCCAAACGCATCCGCCAAATCATCCAAGTCATCCCGAGCCTTCCCCTTCGGCTGAGCAGTCGAATCCTCCGCCAGCGCCTCCTGATCCTTCTCCAGCTTCGTGTCCGTCAACCTAGGATGATTGCAAGCCTGCCTCAGCCTCAAAAGCAATACCAACGCATTCGCATAGTCAATCCTCCCCTTCATCATCTTCTCCAAACTCTTATCCGCCCTCGCCTCCAACGCATCATAAAACTCCCTCTCCGCCTCGGAAAACTTGGTCTCCACCGTCACAACTTTCCTTTCTGTGATCTTGAACGCCGGCTTCGGCATCTCCCTCTCCTCCCCATCCCCCCCCCTCTCCTCCTCCATCTTCGCCTTCATAGCATCCAACGCCTTCTTCCCCCCAGCAACCAACGCCCCCTCCTCCTTCAAAATCTCCTTCGTCCTCCTCTTCATAAAACACCTCAGCAGATTATGCAACCTCTTGATCGCCACATGCCCCTTCCCCTGCTTCATCGGCCCATCAATATCCTTCCTCCACTCCCCCAGCTCATCATAAGGCGGCACCCTCAAAAAGTGCACCAAGCTCTGCAGCTCATCCAGATTATTCTGCATCGGCGTCCCCGTCAAGCACCACCTGTACTCCGCCCTCAACCCACAGCACGCCTTGGTCGCCTTTGCATTCCTATTCTTGATGCTGTGCGCCTCATCCAGAATAACGCGATACCAATACACCCCAAAACACCCCACCTGCGGGCTCTTGGCCGGGTCCGGGTGGCTGTTCCCGTGCTCCGACACCAAAATCTGATACGTCGTAATCACCACGTCAAACTTTGCCAGTTGTTTCGCATCCTTGGTCCTGTTCGGCCCATGGTGCACACAAACCTTCAACCCCAACACCTCCCCGTCAACCTTCTCCTTGATCTCGGCCTCCCACTGCCTAATCAACGCCAGCGGCGCTACCACCAGCGTCCCCCTCTTCACCTCGGAAAAATGCTTCTTCCACCCCTTCCCTCCTTCTTCCGGCATGGGGTTCGACACAATGAGCGATATGCTCTGCAGCGTCTTCCCCAACCCCATATCATCCGCCAGAATCCCCCCCTTTGGCACCCGTCCCTTCTTCAGCGGTCCCAGTTCCCGGTTCTTCATCCATTTGACACCAACAACCTGGTGAGGTAAGAGCTTGACTTTGATACCGACCAGGGTACCATCTTCCTGGACTCCCTCTTCGGGTTCTTTTTCTTCTGGCCCTGCTGTCTTCTTTTCCTCCTTGTTTTTAGGAGGGGCATCATCTTCCTCTTCCTCATCCTCCATCCCCCCCTCTAGCAAAGCCTTGAGATCGGCATTCGCCTTGGCGGGATCGGTATAAAACGTCGTGTCCCCATAACCACCACCGCCGCCGGGCTTGGTGTATTGATACACCGGCTGAGCCTCTTCACTCAGCGAGCTAAACATTGGCAGCTCCGGCTTCTTGGGGGGCACATTTTTTGGTTTGAGCGGACCAGAGTTCCTATACAGATCCGCGTGGAATTCGGGCCGGGTTTTGCGTTGGATGAAGAGGTGGTCTGAGTTCTTGTTTTTGGGGCCGAAGCGGGAGGGGAGCTGGGTTGGGTGGCCAAAGGTTGGGACTGGGGTTGGGGCTGCGGGCGCGGCGGGGCTGTCGGTTAGGTCGATTACTGTGCCGGGGGTGTTGAAGTTGTTGTTGTTGCTGTTTGCGAAGGCGGATTGACCACCGGCGTGTCGTCGGGCGGGAGTGTTGAAAGTGTTGGTGCCCAAGGTTGGTTGGGGCCGGCGGGCCGGGGAGTCCGAATTGGGCCGATCGGAATGATTTCTGCTTAGGGAGCTGAAGAAAATCCGAGTGCATCGTGCCCTATAGGTCCATCTCGTCTCGGGAGGCACTCTTTTTAGCGGCCTAGTTGTTGTAAAGTGTTTTATAAGCTGGTGTTATTACTCGGCAGGGGGAGAACCAAAAGATTAATCCCATAAGCAAACAATACCATACCACCATCAGCCCTGCAACGCACGCGGCCTGCTACCGCGAGAATAGGCTGACCCATAAACCTCCACT